CCGCTGCCGTGGAGCCTGCGCCCGCCTCGCGCGGGCCCCGGTCGGCCAGGGCGGCGATGGTGCCGTGGGCGAGGGCGCCGCGGTCAACCCCCATGAGGAATGTCAACACTGCGATGATCCGCTGTCGGAGGGGGCACCGTACTCTCTGCTAGGTCAGGGTGGCAGCGTAGCCGCCCCAGATGTCCTGGCACTTCGGGTTGGATTTTGTTAGGCGGTAGACCACTCGTGTTACCGCGGCCCGTTGCCCGCCCCATGGGGTGTCTGGGGGTTGACACTCGTTCGGGATCGTATCCCCGTAGGTCATTACCAGGAAAGGGAGCAGACGTGCCGGGGGCCAAGACCCCTCGTCGGTTGTCCCCTGAGATCCCGCCACCGTGCTGCAGCACGAAATCAGCCCAGCATTTGTAGACGGAGTGGTTCCATTCCAGCAGGTACTCCACCGAGGAGCGCATGGGGCCGTCGGACTCCACCCCAGTGAGCCTGAAGGTGGAGTGGATTGGTAGAAAGGGGCATTCTGGCGGGGCAACGTCGGGGAAAAAGGGATTTGATGTCGCGTCCAGCCGTGTCAGGCTCGCTGCTTTCCCCTGCGCCGCTGTCGCGTTCCCTGCCTCTCGGGGTGAGGTCGCCCCGCGCGGCCGATTGCCTTGAATACGTGTCCTTGGCCGCTGCGTTGACGCCAGTTGGGGAGAGGTAGACACTGATGTCGAAGCTTTCCGCTTGCTCTTCTGCTGCTGCTGCGCGCTTGACTGGCGCGGTGGGGCATGCACTGGAGGAGTGCCGGTCCAGGAAGCGGTCGAGCGTGCTGGGCGCCACGTTCCAGATGTGGATGCGGCGCCATCTGCAGGCCCATCCTGCGTTCCACTGCTGCTGGGGCCAGAGCGCGGGCATGGCGTCCCATGGTGGTAGCCCTGTCATGGCGTTGCACGATGCTCCTGGCTCAGGGCTCCACATGAAGCAGCTAAGGGCGGGACTGGTTGTCGACCACACAAGCAGTGGTGACCCCACGGGGCAGGTGTCGCACATGGCGGAGTAAGTGGTCGTGCGGTGCGAGTCGGGCCCGAATCTGCCGTCGGAAAGCTTGTGAGCTGGGAGGGTGGTGCCGACTGTCTGCGGCCTGTAGGCGGGCGGGGTGGTCATGACGAGGTCACGTAGGCTGGAGGGCGACTGCGCTGTGTCTGACCGTCCGTGCCCGATTGGGAGCAGATCCAGGGGGGGGGGAAAGCGCGGGCTCTCCTCTTGTAGCGAGCCGCGTCCAAAGTGCGCTTGTACGCCTGTAGGCGCTGCTGGAGCGACTTCTTGTTGCTGCGGTCGAGCGTGGCTAGGGGGACCTCGATGCCCTTTTTCTCCAGCGGCTTGATCCAGCACTGCTGGCAGAGGCACCTGCAGTTTTTGCCCTGCAAATACGCTTGGGAACGGTTTTGCGCCAGATGTTCCCTTGTGCCATCGTATTCCCAGGTGCCGGCTGTGTCCCGTGTTCGGGCAGCCGTCTCCGTCGCAGTCGAAGCTGCTGACGTGCTGCCTGGCGTGGAACCTGTCGTCACTTACCTTTGGTGAGGCGAGCGTTGTGCCTGGGGCCGGGGATGCAGGGGAGTCTTCGTCGAGGCGCTTGTTGGACATGGCGGTTCCTCCGCCGATGTATTCCGGGTATGCCATTGAGTCTGGGCAACCGAACCCGTCCTCGGACCCGCTGACCTCCTTGTGCAGTGCGCAGATGGAACACTTTCCCTGGCTCAGGGAATTGATCGCGGCAGGCTTGACAATCTCCTGCAGGACCCTCATGGGGGCTTCCAGCGTGAACTTGTAGTCCAGCATCCCTGCCCAAGTGGTTGGGCAACCGTGGTTGGTCGCGACCTGGTGGTGGTGGGCGTAGGTGGCGAGCGTGCTGATATGCTTGATAGTGTCCTCCATTTTCCCGTGGAGGGAGGAGAGGTCATCCAGGTCGAAGCCCCAGGCCCCTGCAAACTTGGTTATGCAGTCTTTATGAGCCCCCTGCCAGGGGTAGCAGATGCCCATGGCTGCTTCGAAGATGTCCCCGGTGGCCTCCGGGTGTGGGAACCGCCATAGCGTCGCTCGGGGCTCGCGCAGTTGAAGACCCGGAGCGCGGGGGTGTCCATGGGGAGCCCGTCGCTGCTGAGGAGAGAGCGCCGTAGCTCCGAGTCGGCTTGTCCGGGGGGGTAGGGACTTCAGGTGCTGCATCACTGATGGGGTGACGCAAAGCGTCTAGAATAGACACAACACATCTCGCCGCTCAGGCCACACCGCCAACACAAACAGCGAGCATAAATCTGGCGCAGCCCCGTAGAAGCCGAGAGGGTCAATCACTCTGAAACATAGGTGCGAAATAGGTTGCGCACCTTATGTGTCGCACCATGGGTTGCACCATGAATGGGTTGCGCCATGGGTTGTCCCATCTGTGGCTTGCGCCATAGGTTGCGCGCTCGGCACACGGAACTAAAGCTGCCTGTTATTCGTTGCGCCATAGGTCGCGCGCTCGGCAGCCGAAACTAGAGCGGCCTGCTGTAGGTTGCGGCATTGGTTGCGCTTTCTGCCGCCGGAACAAGAAACAAGAAAAGGGTGCTATTCGTTGCGCAATCGTTTGAGCGCTCGGCAGCCGAATCTAAAGCGGTCTGCTATCGTTGCGCGATCGGTTGCGCGCTCGGCGGCCGTAACTGAAACGGCCAGCTATTCGTTGCGCCGAGCGTTTCGCAGTCGGCAGCCCAACCTAAAACGGCCTGCCACTGGTTGCGCTACAAAATGCGCGCTTGACGGCAATCTATAAAGCTGCGTGGTATTGATTACGCCGTAAGTTGCGCGTTCGGCCGACGAAACTACAAAGGCCTGCCATGTGTTGCGCCATGGGGTGCGCGATCTGCGAGCGAATACGACGGCATGTTGCGCAAGAGATTGCACGTTCGGCTGTCAATACTCAAAGGTCTGATATCTACTTCTCGCTGAGCCGTAAGTAGCCCCATGTATTGCCTGCTCGGTGGCCGAAACTGAAACGGCATGCTAACGGTTGCTTCATAAGTTGCGAGATCGGCGGGCGAAACTAAAACGCCCTCCTTCTGGTCTCGCCATCGATTGCGCGCTGGGCGGCCGAAAACAAATTGAGGGTAGCTTGAGCGCTCGGTCGCCGAGAATAAGACAGCGCCATACTGGTTGCGGTAGGGCTGGCAAACTCGACGGCCGATACTAAAACGGCCTCCTACTGGTTGCGCCATACGTTGCGCGCTCGGCCGACGATCATGAAACCGCATCCTGCTGGTTGCGCCGTAGGCTGTGCGCCCGGCGGAACAAAACGAAACTGCCGCCTGAAGGGTGCAGTCCACTCCATGCAGGAGGCTGGGTCGACCTCGCGAGAAACACACCCAGGCGACGCCCGACATCACGACGTCGGGCAGGCCTGGGCGCAGGCGAGAGGCTGCCAGCAAGTGGCCGCAGACGGAAGGGTTGCGGTCGCGCGGCGCCCGCCTTTTCTCCGCGCGCTCCGGGGATGACAGCTGCTTCCGATGGTCGCAGGAACCCTGGGAAAATTACATGCTAAGAAACACGAAAACTTGATGCACACAAACCGATTTTTGTTAAAAGAGTTGATCCGCCGGGCCGCCCGGCGCCCTGCCCCGAGGGCGACCGGAGAGGCGTGGCCCTTGGCAGGCTCCAATGTGCATGCGGCGAGTCCCGCGGCCTGCGGCCTGGCCCTGCCAACTCGGAGACACACGCTCCATGTTTGTATTTGCATGCCATGTAAGTCAAGAAGAATGCAGGGCGCCTGGATCGAGCCAAGGTGCCATGGTACACTCACCAAGGGAGCAGAACAGAGGTGCCCAGAACCCCCAGGGATGCCAATATGCCCTGTTTCAAAGGTCATGCTCAGACCCGTCTTTGACGAATCACGCGAGACGAGGAAGTGGAGGAGGAGGAGGAGGACGTCTACCTCTCCATTCAGAGCCCGCACAAGCTTCTGGTCGGCCATGGCACTCGTCGGAAGGGCTTGGCGGTGGAGCGTTAGCTGTCCTAGAGCGAAGCAATCAATCTTCCAACCAGCATCCATCCTCCATCATCCTCTTCTGCATCGCTGATGCATCGTGCTGCGCGTTCCCCCGACCCCATCTACTCGGGCCCTGCCTGGGAGGCCTGGATCTTCCTCCCCCTCCTCCCTTCCCTTTCCCCAAGAGGGCAGAAAGACACACACACACACGCACACACACGCACACACGCACACACAAACACAAACACACACACACACACATCTACACTTACACTTACACTTACACTTACACTTACACTTACACTTACACTTACACTTACACTTACATCTACACTTACACTTACACTTACACTTACACTTACACTCACACTTACACTTACACGTACACTTTTGGCAATCGCGGCCCCGCGCGCGGCGAAGAGGCGGAGCAAAATTCAGCAAGGCGGCCGAAACCTAAGACGGCGCGACACGCACACGCACACGCACACGCACACGCACACACACACACACACACACGGAAGCGTAGATTTCGGACGTCCGCGGACTGCTTTTCCGCTGGCGCCGACAGAGAAGCCCTCCGCGAACGCCCGAGGCCCAACCTGTGCTCGGCAATCGGCATCGGGCTCCGCCCCCGACGGGGGTCCGCCCCGCCTCGGTCGGCGCACCCCGCCGGCCTGCTGGCGCGCCCTCGGCGCGCACTGGCAGTCCGCGACGGGGGTCGATCACCTGGGACCGTTGGCGGGGGGTCGCGCCGACATAACCCTTCGGACGCGGTCTTCGCCGAGCCACCATCCCCTTGCGTGGCGTCACCCTCGCCTCTCAAGCTTCCCTCAGGCCGCACACGTGCGTCTTGGGTCGAGGCGAGGGGGGCGTCACGGAAGGGGATGGTTTGCGCGGGGTCGGTCAGCCCGTCCCTGACCCCCCCCCCGATGCGATTACCATTGCATCTACAATGCGAGTGTCTGTTTGCCGCCCTCCGAATCCCTCCTCTGCCTCCTCAAGCCTCCCGTCTCCTCCTCCTCCTCCTCAGACAGGCCTCGGCCCGTCTGGGTCCGAAAAAAAAACGCCGCTGCCCCTGGCCTCTGGCCAAAGGGCCAGCGGGCCAGGGGACCCCACGGCGCGGAGCGGGAGCCAGGACATCTCAGAAGCTCCTCGCGATCACAAACTCCGCGAACGTCCGCAGCCTCGCCGAAGGCCAAAGCAGGCAGAGGACGACGAAGGGAAGACGAGTGGAGTGGACTGAGGCCTGGTCTGCGCGGCGAACGAGCAGGACACCCAAAGCACAACAAACCCCAAGAAGACACCGAACTTGACACATATGACAAGAGAACTGACGCAACATATCGAAAGCACATGGCGGATCAGGTGTCGTCTACGCAAGAATAAGCGCATGTTCCCCAAACAGAGATTCCTCATAGGAGATCTTCCTTCTGGTTTCAGGAACTGTGCCTGGGTGGCAGTCTGGCGGCTCGCCGTCGCTGCCTCATGGCCGCCCGTCGTCTGGGCCCCCGTGGCGGTCTGGCGGCTCCGTGCTCGCCGTCGCTGCCCCGTCGCCGCCCCGTCGCCGCCCGTCGTCTGGGCCTGGTCGCCGCCCCGTCGCCGGCCCGGTGGCTTCGCCGTCGTGATCGCCATCGTCGTCACGAGCATCGCGTCAAAAGTTATGATCATCGTCTGCCGTTGTCGACGTTGCCATGGTACCGCGCCCGCCCGAGTCACCGACTTGCACTGAAGCGCCAGAGGGGCAGCGCGGCCGGCACGACGCGCTAGGAAGTGCCCAGCGGTCAGCGCCACCTCGGCCGCGTCGATCGCGCCAGACTGGCTGGCCGCTCTGCGCGCGAACCTGCGCGCGCTAGCGCGTCCGCAGCAACGCGCCAGCCAACAGCAGTCATGGCAATCGCCGCCGCATGTGTTTTGTAAACTAAATTGCGGGTGTGGGTGGGATGATTGCGCGAGCAGTGGAACTGACAACTTCAAGTCCTGAAGGTGAATGGCACCGCGCATATTGCACAACATACATTGCACCATATGGATTGCTACGCATATATTGCACCGCGTCGATTGCACAACATATATTGCACCACGCGGAATGCTCCACAAATGTTACACAACATATATTGCACAACACGTGTCGCACCTCATATGTTGCACCACGTCGACTGCATCACGTAGCTTGCGCCCCATATATTGTTAACATAGATTGCACCACCTGGCACCATACATATACTAGAACCATCGCGCGCGCTTCGCGCGCGCTCAAGTTCTAGCTAGGCTGGATGGTAACACTCCCGGGGATCTCTATTCCATGACACTTTTTTTCAGGGCTTCCAAGAACCACGAAGACGGCCCAAGCGGCTTCCAAGACTTCCCTACAAAGGAACTTCGGGGGCCCTTTCATTCGCCGCGGCTGGACGTAGCCGGAGGAAGAGGAAGAGAAGGCGAGGTGAAGGAGTTCCCTGGGGGACAAGGAAAAGGAGGATGAGGAGTTGGAGAGGGTGGAGGAAGCCGCAGAGAGGAGGAGGAACCAGAGGAGGAGGAGGAGGAGGAGGAGGAAATTTGATATTCCCTTGTTTTGCAAGCGTACCGAAGCTGCCAGGCGAACTTTAACAAGAAATGTTGGAATTCCCATTTTTCTCAAGTGCCCTCGGGGCCTCCCTCGGGGCTCTTTTGGGCCTCTTTGGGGTTTCTTGGGGCCTTCTGGGGGTCTCCTGGGGCGAAGATCTCGGGTTCTCGGCTCGCTTTCCCGATCCTGGGCCGCGGTTGGGGCCCTCTCGGGCCGTCTTGGATGTCTCTTCGGCGCTTTTGAAGCCTGTTGCGCCGTCTTGGGGCGCTTTTGAAGCCTAGTGGGCCGTCTTGGGACGATCCTCTGAGCCTCTTGGGGCTTTCAACAGCGTCGGGAAGCGGAACAGGCGGAAACGCAATCAACAACCTATTGAATATAGATGTGTTGTTGGTTGGCCTCTTCGTGCTCTGCTGGGAGACCTTTTGGAAACCTTTCGGCTATCTTGGGGGCTTCTTGAGCCGTCTGGAGGCCGTCTTGAGTCTTGGGCATCTTGGACCATCTAAGTGGCCTTCGGTCCATCCCGACACCGTGCCTGGGTTGTGGGTTAGAGGCCTCTTGGAAATTCGTTTGGAATTCGTGCAAGGCTTCCCGGGGACCTCTTGAAGGCAGTTTGGGAAGCCTCTTGGGGACCTTTTGCGGCGCTCTTGGGGCGTCGTTTTGGGCCTCTTTGGGGCCTCGCGTGGCCTCTAGGGGGCCTCTAGGGGGCCTTTTGGGCTCTGTTGGGGGCCTCTTGGGGCTTCCTGCGGGCCTCTTGGGGCGGAAGGCTAGAATCATCGAACCTTGGGGCTGACTCCATGACCTGGGATCTTTCTCAATCTCTCAGGGTCCGACGCGTTCGCGCCGAAGAATTGGGGCATGCTCGCGCGCGCGGGGCGCGGGGGTCGGACAACCTGAACAAGCGCGCAGGGGGCAAACGGCCCCGAGCTTACCGCCTCGCCCAGCAACGTTCCCCGGCCCTTGCTTCGCCCTCCCGAACTCGGCCCCCCTTTCCGCGCCCATCCTCCTCGTCATGTCCTCCGCGTTTCATCATTGTCCCCACTCCGTCATTGTCGTCGCCCTCCTCCTCTTTCTCCTCCCCCCCCTCCTCCTCCTCCTCCTCCTCCTCCCCCCCCCTCCTCCTCCTCCCTCCCCTCTTCCTCCTCCTGCTGCTCCTGCTGTTGGTCGCTGGTAGAGGATGGCAAAGGATCAGTGCTGGAGCCGACATCCCCTCCGCGCTCCTCCTCCTCCTCCTCCTCCTCCTCCTCCTCCTATTCCTACTACTACTACTACTACTACTACTACTACTACTACTACTACTACTACTACTACTACTACTACTACTACTACTACTACTACTACTACTACTACTACTACTACTACTACTACTACTACTACTACTACTACTACTACTACGACTACGACTACGACTACGACTACGACTACGACTACGACTACTACTACTACTACTACTACTACTACTACTACTACTACTACTACTACTACTACTACTCCTACTCCTACTCCTACTCCTACTCCTACTCCTACTCCTCCTCCTCATCTCCCTCCTGTTGCGATAAGCGAACCTTAGGGTGACTCATGGCGTTCTTGAGCGTAGACAGCGAAAAACGCACGCAACCCGACTCGAAGAGGGACCTGGCGGGCACCGCGGGCACTGGGGGAAAACGCGCCCAGGGAAAAACAATCATACGAGTAGGCGCCCGACAGGCACCAGAGGGCGGCACTGACCTTGGTAGCGAGCCCTCTAAATAACACATTAAGGTGAGAAGGGCCCGCGCCGCCCCCCCAGGCGCAGCGCAGGCAAGAAAAAAACGCAAAGAGTGGCATTCGCGAGAATAGAGCGGCACCGTGAGAGCAATTCTCGGGCTGCTGCTCAGGGTTCCGGCCTACCCCAGACCATCAGTACATGCCTACTCCCCGTGATGCATCCCGCCCATCCCCCTCCCGAGGTTCGAGCGAGGCTGGCTGCGTGCTGTCAAGCAAGCAAGACATGGGGTGGCCCCGAGGGCCAGCCCGACGCCCGACGTGCCGGCATGCGCTTGCAGGCAATTCTTCTTCCCAGCGAAGTAAGGTTTGCTGAGTTGCATGCTCTCAAGCAAAAACGAGCCGCCTTCGCGACGGTCGGAGCACGGCTGGCCGCGGTGCGCGCGGTCAGGCAAAAAAAACACGCTGGCCCTGCAGCCCGGCCTGTCATAACCCGCAGAGATACAGGCTCACACGCCGCGCGGATTGTGAAGACCTGCAGCAAGAGACGCACGGAGATCGCAGCCACCACTCCCATAAACTGCCCACCCCCTTCCCGAGGCAAGGGCGAGGCTGGCTGAGCTGCGCGCCGCAAGGCAAACTGTGCAGTGGCTGGCCGCGAAGGACGGCCTGGCGCGCCAATGCCCTGACCATCCGTTGCCATCAGAAAACTCAAAATCGGAGGTGAGGGGGTGAGATCGAAGTGGAACGGAGAGCCCCCCTACCGGGAAATCGGTTTCGGTTTCGTGTTCGTGCGTGCCGTGCGTGCGGGCGAAGCGAAGCTGCGTGGGCGGGCGAGAAGTGTCCCGCTTCTGGCTGAGGCGCGGCCAGACCAAATGATTCCTCACCGGGGGCCGGTGGCGCGCGGTGTCCCGCCGGTGTCCCGCCTGTGTCCCGTCGGTGTCCTGATGATGATGACGATGTTGATGACGATGATGATTATAATGATGACGGCCAAGGTGGTGAAGATAATTGTATCCCGATGATGATGATGTTGATAATGCAAAAAGTGATGCTGATGATACTGAAGGTGTCCCGATGATGATGCTGATGATGATGATGATGGTGATGGTGATGATGACGATTATTATTATTGGTATTATTATTGTTATTATTATGATGTTGATGTTCATGATGATGGCGATGATGATGGTAATGAGGTGCTTGTGGAATTGGTGATGATGATGATGGTGTCCACATGATGTTTCGGTTGATGATGCTGCTATTGATGATGCTGACGGTGGTGATGAGAATGGTGTCCGGATGAGGATGAGGATGTTGACAATGATGATGATGATTACGATGCTGGTGTCCCGATGATGATGATGATGGTGATGTTGGTGATGAGGATGATGATGGGGTGATGATGGTGATTTTGATGACCGTGCCCCGGTGATGATGATGTTGACGATGATGATGGTGCCCCGATGATGATTATGATGGTGATGATGTTGATGATGACGATGATGGTGGTGTCCCGATGAACATGATGGTGTTGATGATGGTGTTGCTGATGATGGTGGTGTCCCGATGATGGCGGTGATGATGATGTTATTGATGTGGTTCATGATGATTATCATGAGGTGCTGATGGTGGCGTTCCGATGATGATGATGATGGTATCCCGATGATAGTGGCGTTGATGCTGGTCGTGGCGATGATGGTGTCCCGATGATGATGGTGGTTACGATGATGTTGATTATGAGGGTAAATCAGTGATGATGATGGCGACCATGATGACGATGATGGAATGATGTTGATGACGTTGATGGCGATGATGTTGATGATGATGAGGGTGACGTTGATGGTGAGATCGATTGTGATCTCGATGGTGAAACCGATGGTGAAACCGAGTGTGAAATATATTGTGAGATCGATAGCGGAA